CAGGCGCTTCAAGCGGCTTACCTATGGCCACAAGTGTTGCACTTGTGGGTGGGTGGCAGCACCGAAGGCTGTTTTGTTGCTGACGTCTGTTCTCTGCACAGCTGCTTGCTGTTTGCAGTTTGCATTTTTATTTTTGTAGCCTGCTTTCTAATGTGTTTCTAATATCTATGCGCCTGGCCTGTTTACAATTTGCATTTTGCATGGTCGGCAGCGCAGCGATGCACAAAGAATTGCATAAATAAGTTATTCTTATAAAATGCAAGCAAAATGCGCAAAATATTTATAAAAATTCCCGTTTGTTTATTCATAATCAGTTTGTGCAACGATGCGCTCTCGCCTCCACAGCCACAGCCGCGGGCACTGCGTTCGCCCTTTTTCTACATTGCATACCGTTGGGCGCAAGGGCGCGTACACATACACATATATGTGAGTGTCCGTGTGTAAATGTGGGCGTGCGTGGATAAGCTTCATTTGGCATGCATCAACGCATTTTTATGTAAATTGAAAAATATATTCTTTTTACAACTATATTTTTATAGTTTAATTCTTGTTGCCATGCCTCAGTTATCGTAATTTGAGTTTTAGATCGAGGGCTACAATAACAATTACATGAGTAAGCACTACGTAGAGCCATACTAGTTTTCTTTCACTGTAGATAAGCTATCGCGTAGACTTTATTATTTATATATTACGTATTTATTTAATTTATTATTTTCTTTCACCCAAAGCAGCAAACAATTTAAATTGTTGCAAGTCACAATTAAATTATAATTTTATAAATTTCTTAAAAGTATTTTTTATGTTTTCATAATCGTTTGGTTTTGGATAGCTTAAATTGTTTTTCATGCATTTGTTGGTCTACTCCATCCGTAGATCAACTAAGTTATCAATCGCTTGTTGTTTCCACCATCAAACAAACACCGACAGATAGAATTCATGGCAGGGAGCACATCAAATTGCATTTGCATATTGCCAGGCGCATTAGCAACCAGCAAGCTCTCAGCTAGAAACATGAGCCACATGCCACATGCCACATGGCAGCTGGCAGGTGGCAGGTGGCTACCACGACCCAACCACCTACAACGCCTTCACACAGCATGTAAAAGCGTGTAACCATAAAGAAATTATAGCTGCGATAGTTGCCAACGTTATCGATAATTCAATTTTGTGCATTATTTTGGCGCTGCTCTGATGCCCTGCCATTACAGGCAAAAATAAATGTATCCTAAGGCGGGCCAACACACACAGATACATATGTGTATCAGCCATTTGCATGCGGTATAAGCCACGTTGGATCCTTTGGTTTTGGTTGGCTTTTGCAAGCTCTTTAATTTTATTGTCTGTTGGTTGCGCTTTGGCATTTTGTGTTGTTGTTAGCTCAAATACGACAACGTTGCACTTGTCTATATATTTTTGCCACACTTTCACATTTCCACGATTTTCCCTAACCATTGCTCGCTCGCTGTCGTCGTTTATCTGGCAAGGGGCTTGAATTAAGGGCAAAGACGTAGGGCATGCGCCGTAAATAGATTTTGCCTGTTATTGTTCAGAAAATGATTTAGGGAAAATTAGGTTTATGTAAATAATGAAAAAAGAGCTCGCTGCAGGCTTCTTTTGAAACATCCTGGCATGCATGACCCGTCTCCTTAGTATCTAAATAAATGCCGGTGTGTCTGTGTCTGTATGGGTGATCAATTTCAGAGTATATACCACAGCGAGAGAAGAAGACTTAAGGCCATATTGCAAAATTAAAGCACAAAAGCTCAAGACATAATATTCTTTTCCTGTTGGGGCTGGATTCAGTTTATTCAAGACTGGGAAAGTAAAATGTAAGAATTTAAAAATGACTATAAATTGAACTTAAGGTAGTAGAACCTTGAGCAGCGTGCTCGATTGGGAGTTGTTTGCTTATATTTGCAATAAGTAGGATAGGTAGATAGCAGCATACAAGGTGCTAAGTAGAAGCACACATAGTCATCTGAATCTATCTGAGTCTTGATTAATTTTAGAGCTCTTAACATTTGTTGTTTATTGTTTGTTGTAATTCAATAATCAAAATAACTAAAAGATTCACATTATGAATCTAATTTCGATTTTTTTTATAAATTATAAATTATCCCTTATTTACGCCGCTGTTAGCTGTTGATTTATGATTTTAACAACCTATGACAAATTTATAGTATTGAATTTTTCGCTCTTGCTTTCTTTATCTGAACTGAATATGCGTATAAATATATATATACATATATATATATATAAGAACAGTTTGCTGCTGTACATAAAATTGTCCATTTAGAGAGCATATTTTTCGCCACGCACGCAGTTTTGCATATTTATTATTTATTTATTTTAGCGCACAAACAATAACTCACCCTGACAGCCAATTAATCAGAATTGGACATTCAATTAAATTGCAAAATAATATCACAGTGAAAATGAACGAAATTTAAATGTGTATGTAAATAATGCCCCAAGCAAAATATGCTCGATATTATTATAGGCAAATTTAATGCAGCAACATTGCTTTTTTTGTGTGTTTGGATTTCGGTGTATAGTACATGGCCTAGCCCGACCCAGCCCAGTTGTCAGATTGTATAATGAATTGTACGTTTATTTAAAAAACTTTAAATTATGCTGGCGAAAACGAAGTAAAATGGGAAGTGGAAAATGGGAAATGGGAACAGACAACCTGATGGGATAGGCCATGGCTCTGTCATTGCAACGAGCGGCCTAATTAACTTGGCAACACGCAAAAAAACAGCTTTAAAAATATGTTTACATAAAATTGAAGTGGCAAAGCGTGTAAAATGAACAAGAAGAAGAAACGTAACGAAATATGCAGATGGGTTAATGTGCAGAGAAAACTGCGCTGGGAAACGAAGAAAATACAGCAAAAGAAATAAGTAAAAGAAAAAAGTAAAAAAAAAGAAAAGAAAACTGTGTCAAACGTCAACGACTTCATTGATGTAGTTGCTGCCGCTGTTGTTGTTGTTGTTGTTGTTGTTGTTGTGGCTGTTTCTGGATTTCCATGGCTGGGGTAAATTGTGCGAGTCAACATTAAAACATTAAACAACATTAAAAATTAAAAATTAGCTTAGAATGGGCACCGAGTTATGCCTTTTTGGGGCTGCGTCGCGACAGTTATGCTCGTTTTTATGCCCCCGAACCTATTTAAACTGTGTGGGAAAGGGTATAGCTGCTTCGAACAACATCATGTAACAGCTCTAACTATAGAGTAATATCAAAAGCAGAGCGAAGATCGTTAAGATCCACAGATTGAAACAAAATGATGTAGGTTCTGTTATTGCATACATAAAATCGAACTTTCATCATCTTATCTAATTTATATTTGTTGTGTTATCGATATAAATCGATATCTCGATTTGATACTACCATAATATAATTGCCTTTTCTTTAAAGCAAAAATACTAACCTGTAAGCCATAATAGAAATAGTAAAATAGTTTACAACATGGAGATATCTTATGAAGGCACTGTTCTATATATGATTCATTATGATTCATCGTGATCCGCGTGACTGCTAAGCTGAGTTTAGGGTAACTCTCAGTCAGGCACTACTGCGCACTCGAACTCGTTTTGCTTTTAATTGGCAGTTCACATGCGGGGTTAAGTGAAAAAGTGTTCAGCTTCTGTCAGCCAGTTAGCCGGTGACCCACTTGCCGCGAAATAACCAAATAGTCCATGTCGTATGTAATGCCTATTTTTGGGTATGTTCTACTAGCGATATGAACCGACTTCTACTTAGGTATGTTCAAAGTTTTGTAAACAAGCATATTGATTGCATACATACATACATGGGTTCACAGGTAGGTAGATAAGAGCTTGTAGGCAAGCCTACAAATACAAGTACTCTCTGCGTCAAAGTCATTTTGATAGTCGGGCGGCAAAGAAGTCCGATGAAATGGTAAAGATACAATAGCTACAAGATACAAATTTGCGTTCGTGCAGCTTTCATTTGGTATGCAGCGCTGCGCTGCATTTCTTAACGCTTCCCAATTAACTGGACAGCACAATCATAAAACAGTAGGTAAATTTAGTCAAGTAGAGAGGGCATTCGAAAGAAAGCTTACCTAGCATTAATTACCTAGACCCGACTGAGCTGCGAAATAGTATATGAAGAACACAGCCCCAAAAAAACCTTCGTGAAAGTTTCGAAATACAGTCGAGCAGAATATAGATTACTTGAACCACAAAGTTGAAGATCAAAGCCGACAAGTTTGCGCGAATGATCGCATTGTTTTAGCTATTTGAAACAAGTGGTCTCAACTTGCAAAACTGACTATGGGATGCTCTATAGACACCCTATATATATGAGGCATATATTTATTCTAGACCAAAATCTGCGTGCGCATCTCCCGTTGGTTTAAGCTAAACCTAACAAACGCCAGCAATTAGAGAAGTAAACTAAAATAACGGCTGTCATAATTAATTTGCCATGTTTATTTAAGCTTTAAACTCTAAGCTAAGTGCACATTGGGTATTGTGTTACGTTTTTGGAAAATGATCTATGTGAGTCCAATGCTTCGAAACACAAACGTTCAGCTGCCTGCTGATATCATTAACATGATGATAAGATAAATCAGCGCGAATTTAAACTTCTAGAATTGTCGGTTGCGTCAGTTTATGTTGTTGCTGTTGCTCTGCAGTTCTATAGTTTCCCGAGCTGAGAGCGTAAGAGTGCTTTAGTTTCACACGAGCGTCTGCCCCAACCCCCATAAAAACAATCTGACGCACACAAGCAAAACAATAAATGTCAGCACGCGAACTGCGAAGCAGCGAGAAAGAGAGAGAGAGCTCGAAAGAGCGCGTGCGGCAGACGCAGCGAAAGAGATTGAGCGTGGAAAGCGCAAAGAGCGCGTTTATTTCGTTCTGTTTTATAATTAAACATGTGAGGTTAGGAATACTGTGAAAAAAGTAGGAGCTATTAATCGAGGGGCGTCAATGTGACACAGAAGCTGAATTTTTATTAATTATACGTACCTTTGAACCAATCTGATTGCCACATTGGCCGGCCTGCAAATGCACTATTTCTCTCATATTGTCAGACGCTCTGAGACTTTGGCAAAGGTCAGGTAGATGTTTATTAGGTGTCTTCTCTGGTCAACTGACAATCTATCAACACGGATTGAAAGATGTGTATGCACAGAGTATCACACACACGCACACAAACTAAGCCACACACACGCACACAAGAAACAATCGCTGACAAAATGCGAGGGAAACGGGGTGTGAGTTATTCGAATCGTTCGCTACGTATTACACTGTGAGTGATCGTCGCGCTCGCGTCAAGATTCCAACGTGCACTGAAAACGGCCGCAGCTGCAAATAGTGAGCGAGCCTCGAGAGTGAACTCGAGCGACGAGGCAGCGGGCTGTGTCAGCATTGGTTGCGGCTTGCTCATGGCATGCCGTGCGATGGGGAGGCAATGACAAAGAGGCAGAGGAGAGAGAGAGCGAGAGACAATTGCTTAGAATTGTAGCGGCAACTGATAAAGAGCTAATGCAGACGACAAGCTGTGTAGCTAGCAGCAGCAACAGCAGCAACAGCAACAACAGCCGCAACAACAACAGTGGTAATAATGAATGACGAACATAAAAGCTGACTGGAATTGTAACGTGGCGCCGGCAGGTTTCTGGAGGCATTTTCATTGCTATTGTGGTTTTGTCGGTGTGACTTGTTTGCGTCTTCTGTTTTTCTTCTTTCGCTGCAACAACGTGGAGCGTGCTCTCTCTCGCTCTCTTCCATTGTCAATGCATGACTGCGCACTGGAAGACTGGATATAGAGAAAGAGAATGCAACAACTGGGGCTCTTTGGAACGATGTGGAAGAATTAATGCCAGAGAGCGCGCTGGTAGAAGAGAGAACAGCGAAAAGAGCGCAGAGAGCTAAGAATGAAATCAAGTATGCCGTGTCGAGCATGTATGCGCTTTGAGTGTGAGGCATTTTGATTCTATTGTACGTTCTGCATTAACTGTTAGATTCTCACAAACGAAAAATCCAAATCGAAGAACATGGTATTCTTTTCTTTCTTTCTCTGACCGGACGACTGCTGGAAGAGAAAAGAAAATGACTTGTAAAAAGAAAACCTGTCTCATTGGAATTTAGGGGTCATGTTTTTTCTTGAATTTCACTTAAAGCCGATTTTAATATTATAGCTAGTACACTATAGTCGAGTTACAAATATTAAAGGGCTATCATTGTTTCCAGGTATACAAATATGTAGATTGTTAGAAACTATCAATTCAACTTTGTTATGCAGTTAGTTACATATGTATTTAAATGAGAGAATGAAGTTAGAAAACAGATCAGCGCTGTTCAATTCAGTCATAATATCTGGAAGATAAAGAATTTAGTTTTTCATCAAATTATTAATATTTTAAATGTTCAAAATAAATAACAAAATAAACAATTAAATAACAATATAAAATAAACCTTAAAATCACTTGATTTACAGCAAATAATACCATATTATATATGTAATTATAATTTAAATACCTATTTTTATTTCTATTAGATATATTCATTTTACCAAAAAAACAAACAACTTTATCAATATGTTGGTTACTTTAGAAATTGCAACTATTCGGCTGACCTATAGTATTTGTTAGAGAGGTTTCCGTGAATCTTTAATCGTAAGCATATGCCTGTCAGTAAACACAAAATTGATTTAATTTGCCCTAAAGTGCATGTCAAATTGAATTTTGATTATTATATTATGCAACTATCAAAAACTATGTGTTTATCGTCTTATTATTACAGGGCTTCCCTTTGATGAAAAATGGTTGTAAATATCAAAGAAAATATATCAATGAAAATAAACCGCATTAATTGTAAAACTCACACTCATCTGAAACTAATATAGTTTTATAATATTAGAGATACTTTAAGTTTTTTACAGATCGCCAAAGTAAGTTAATCTGGTTTTCTGTGTGAAATATGCAAAAAATAAAATTTATTACGACTCAATTTGTTATGAATAACATACATACAAAGTTGGTAATTAGTAATTAATAAATGCTACGGAAGGTCAAATCAAGTAATTAAGCTGGTATCATTTGATTTAAATTTTAAGGTAAGATCAATAAAAGTATTTTTTGTAAGCATGAGTGTTTCAAAAATTAGTAAATTTAGTTTTTGTTCCTTATTTCGTTACACATTATTAGTTGTTTTTTTTTTTTAATTTTTTTTTGTTATAAGGTAACTCAATACCTATTATAAAAAGTTGAGTTTAATAAAAAGCTATTATTTTTGCATCTAAAGTTAAAACTTTTTTCATGAAGAGTTGCCCTCCGCTGCCCCAGATTTAAATCCCACAGAGCATCCTTGCATATACATGGAAGGACATTCTGAAAACCGTATTAATGGAGGAGTGGCTTCAACATCAATTTGATTTCACGCTAAAATTGGACATGTCAATGCCAAAGCGATTGGCAGCAATCATTAAAAGGAAATAATATTTAACAGCATATTCGTAGTTTTTGTTCGTATGATAACTTTTTTGTTCCGAAATCCATTGCCTTTTTAGTTTAAAAATTAGTAAAAAGTACTTTTAATTAATGTTTTATTCATTAAATTTAAATAAATCAAATTATTCAACAGCATATTCGTAGTTTTTAAAAAAATTGCTATATCAGTTGTATTTTTTGTTTGTATGAATACTTTTTTGTTCCGAAATACATTGCTTTTTTAGTTAAAAAATTAACCAACAAGTACTCTTAAATACTGTTTTATTCATTAAACTTAAATAAAATTTTTAATATCATTCAATTTTTTTACAATCAACTTTTTGCATCGCTCGAAGTGTATCTGCAGCTGACAGCTGTGTTCATAAAAATATTAGTGCGACTGAGCACTAAATGTTGGACAATAAAATGTAGTAATGAAAAACAATATTTTGAACACAATTTGAAACGAATATTTAGATTAAAACATTTCTTTATCAATTTAGATGTTTTCTTTTTGTTATAAACTTGACAGCATATTAACTTCAGAGCTTGGGGTTGAGAAAGAAAAATGAATAAAACTTTGTATAAAAACAAAAAAAAAAAACATTTTCACATTAGTCGAATTAAGGACAACTTTGCATTCTATGCTAAGCAAAAATTGGTAATATATTTAATTTTCAACGGAAAAGTAGCTTTTTGATTACTGCAATGCAACACTACTAGTTTTATGACCACAGCTGACTATATTTTCTCATATTTTTTTGTTTGAGATTTGCTATTATTAGTTACAGATCCGCTGTCGAATTGATTTGTGATTACTTTCGCATATCAGCGATAGTTTTATTAATGAAGTCCCGATAGTAGTAGACGCTCATGAAGACGTCGGGCATGTCGTGATTGCCGCATTTGGAAGTCCAAGTGCTGATGCCGCACAGTTCGCCATTGATGACCAGGGGCCCGCCAGAGTCGCCATGGCAGAGGGTGCGACCGTTGTAGCCGGCGGCGCAGATCACGTTGTCGGGCATAGTGCGCTCCATCTTCCGGCTGCACTCCGTTTCATCAATGAGAGGTACCTTCATGGCGCGCAACGTATCGTGATAGTATTCGCTGACACCCCAGCCAGAGACGGTGGCCACATTGCCGGCAGCTGGCTTTTGCGAACACAGAGGCAGGTAGTTGACATTGGGCTTTTTATAGGGTATGCTGAGTGAGACCACAGCAATGTCAGCTATGAACTGCGTTCTTTCATACTTCGGATGTATCTTTAACTTGAGTACCGAATTTTTCGAGTCCTCTGTTGGAAAATACATTGCTGTCTCTGTCTCGCCAGCGACTACGTGATATTGAGTGTAGTCCGAAACTGATGCGAAACAGTGTGCCGATGTAACAATATAACGTGAGCTGACTAGCGTGCCACCACATATCAGCCTGTTGCCCAGGTATATCTGAACGGCATAGCCGCCGAGCTGTTCGATAGTCCTTTCCTGGCCTCCATATATTCTGGGTCTAATTAGACGCCTATCCCATAGCTCAGCGTTTGCCATACACAAGATATTTGAAACAATAAATGTTGTTAAGCAAAACATTTTCAATTGTGCCTAGTTTCTGGACAGGCTCTGAAATAGCTATTTAAGCCTTTAAATTCTATAGAATCGATTAGTTTCGCATTGTATTTCTTAGCTTAACAAATTTGTTCTTCTTGCACTCATTATATGCGTATATTATGTGTTTGTGTGTGTGTGTGTGTGTGTGTGCGTGAGGTCATATTCCCATCGACGTCTAGTCGCCAAGTTGAATCTTTTTGATTCTATCATTAGCCAAGTGGTAGGAGGTTTGACTTAACTCTTTTTTGCTTCTGTGAGCGTCTTCATTGGTCTTGTTAGGCAATCGCCGCACGTTTTGTTGCCAGTACATTTACAGTTATGTGCTCATTGCACGCATATACATACGCACACACACACGCAAATGGCTACAAGGATATCACATAAAGATGTAGCTGTGCGTGCGCCTCTTGCCAAATTGTCGATTTTATTATTTGTGTTTATATGATTTTTCAGCTGTTCTGCATTTTAAAGTGCCTGCCAGCAGCAGGGCATGCGAGGGAGAGCGAGATGGCCATAGATAGGGCAAAGGAAAAGCCGCATAGCCAAGGCCAACGGTGGGGCAGTGCGGGGAAGCTGGCTGTGTGGTTATAACATGCGCTGCGTGTCTTCTGCCTCATTTCTTATTATAATGTGAAAGATATCCTTTTACAAATTCAAAACGTTGAAGTGTGCGATTTCTTTTGTTGCCGCTTTTAACTGTCAGTGTGTGCGAGTGTGTGTGTGTGTATGATACCCGCGTGTATTTATGTCTGGACAGTTGCAAAGAGAGGCACGTTCTCGCAGTGCGAGCACGAAGCGGCTGTCCTACTAGCAGAGCTGATAATTCGAAATATTTATCATTTCGTATTGAAATATTTTGCGCATCATTTTGCTGTAATTTTCTACATGCTGCATTAATGGCAGATGCCCTGCAATCGATCTGCCAACTCATTGTCGATTGCAGCTGTAACAATATCCGGACACGTTCAGACCAAGCAGGACTCTCAATAGGAATAAGAATAACAAGCTACAATATTATAGAAAATAGTCACAAATGAACCAAACGAAATGGCTTGTCATGTGCCTAAGAGCCAATGGGCTAAGTAACAACAATGGAAATTCAATTTTGGAATGGAAAACGTAAAAAGGCCCAAGTAAGACTTCAATTTGTAAATATTTCAACTACGAACATGTTCGCCTGCCTCTTATATTGTTTTCCATTCCCTTTGAGTGAAGAACTTTATTATTAAAGTTAAATATCCGAAATCTCATTTATGTTTTACTCGTATATATTCAGTTTGTCACGCCAAATAGTTCATCAAAGATATATTCAAATTCCTAGTACATATGGATCTCTCTCTCTCTCTCTCTTTGTTTCTCTATATAGATATATCTATTCAAATGTGGTGTACGAGCTTTAATTGCATTGCATTGCAAACAAAATTTCTATTTGCGTTAACTTTTCAAATTTTGCAAAATTCATTTCGATTGCTTATTTCGCTCAAACTGAAAAATATAAAAAAAAACACACTCACAAAATTGTTCAACTTTGGAAATAGCAAACTGCAATGGAAGCTGGACGTGAATTGCAGTTGCATTTATTAGTTTAGTTTTTGAAATTAAACGTATTTGCATGTCATATGCAATTTAGCACATTTGCGACTGTGTACGACAAATTCTATTTTATATTACTCACATATACCCTGTATGTGTGCTCAGATACGGCGAGTGGGTAGACCTTGAGGCTAGTTCGATGCACATGACAAGTTGATTTATTGAAAATATTAAAAAGTGAACAACATGACTCTATAAATGTGTTTCATACATTTCATTAATTGCATTATATCTAAAGTTATGCGAGCTATACAGTGCCACCTATATAGGTTCGATTTTGTCTGAATGTTTGAAAAGTCATCCACAGAAACTCTGATTGGAATGAAATAAAATTTCTTAAATATAGAAAAATGAATCTGTTTTGGTGAAGAAAAGTTTTTGCTCGTTAAATTCGAATTTTTTTAGGGTTTTGATTAATTTTTTAAGAATATATCAAAAAATGGCTCATCTACCTAGGTTTGGCCACTCAAACTATTTGACAAAATTATAAAAAAACAGAAATAATAAAGAACAATATTTTTTCATAAGTTAGTATTTCATAAGTCTTGCCTTGCTCTTATTAATATCAACTATACGCCTTGGTAATCAATTGAAATATTTTTTAGTTGCACAAAGTGAAATTGTTGACTAGTCGCAAAATGTTTGACTTTTCTTCCAAAAAAAAGAATTGCCAAATGCATTAAAAAAACCTTTAGGTACTCCCCTAGTCCAGTCCTAGCGTCTAGTAGAAAAATGTTAGATTCAGATTCAGTAGCTGGAGTAGATGAAGCAAATCTTAAGAATTTTACCTCAAAAGTCTTCAATTGAAAATATTATAATAGCTAATTAAAAATATTTTAAAGAAATTCTATTTTAGTTCATGAATTTCATAAACTATGGACTATTTTTGATATAATAATATTTTTTTATCTGATTAAAATTTTTGACTTATATAATAAAAATTATTTCTTTATATTTATAAATTAATAATAAAATATAAAATTATAAAAAAATAACTCTTCATATAAATGATAATCTATTCTATATTATAGACGAACAGACTCTATGGTGTATAGTTTGACTAGAGCACTTAACCTTTGAGCTTGTCTAGTTTGCATGGGTAATACGAGCCTAATAGTTGGCAGGTGTCGTCTGCCATATCATTAATACCTTAATACTCTTACCAAATACACGTGTCTGCTGCTACACAAACTGCAGCTCACAGCAGCTCATGTATCATCATTTCTACAGCTAAAACTCTTTAAAGGCAACATAACTTCCAGAGCATTTAGTGGCAAAAACTTCTTAACATATCATAGCTACATAGGAGTTGTGTTTATAGAAATTTCATTGCCAGTCGGATGTCTACAAGGGTATTTCATTTGCGGCTTGGAGTCGGCTTTTTGCTGCTTGGTGCATTTTAAAGTGTGCAATTTAATTGCTTTTTGGGGTTTTGTTTTTTATTGTGCTAGCTTGGCGAGTTTTTCGTTGGCGAATGTGTCAAAAATGTTTGTCGTCTACAAATTTGAAAATTGCATTCGAGCAGTAACAACAACAAGAACTACTACAGCAACAGCAGCTGTAATAGTAACAGTTGAAACAGCAGAGAAAACTAAAATATATAGGAATATCGAGTACGAAGTGAAATTCACGCAATGCAGCAAGAGATTTATACACACTGCGTGTGGCTGTGCGTGTGTGTGTATGTGTGCATGTTTAGCTACAATATTTTGCTTTTAAGCTTGGGATTCTAGAGTTTTATTGTCTTTGTGTGCATACAGACGTGCACATCCCTCCGCCAACCCACACACACACACCCATTAACAGTTAGCCAAGCAGCTGGCATCCCGATTGGCCCGAGTGTCCCGAGTGTCAACGGAAGCCGTCGCCATGTCGGTTAGTTGGCTGCCATCGAAATTCCGGATTTAACAGCAAAGTAACCAAAATGCAATTGTTTTGCAATTGGCATTTTGACCACATTCTGACACCCTGGCCATATGGCCGGCGAGTGTCAACAGCGGCGGCTGCAAATTGCCAAAAACTATATATCCATATACATATATATATTCGAGCAACACAAAGCACACATCTAATACGCACACACATGTACGACCGTATACGTAATATACGTACGTATACGTAATTTATTTAGCATTTCAAATGATTTCACTAGTCCCAGCTATACGGCAAAAAGTATTAGGCAGTTGGCCAGAGAGAAAGGGAGGGAATGTCAGAGAGAGAGAGAGAGATGTGGGAGACAAGAGGTTTTGCACTCTGTCGATATGCTGAAATGTGCTTAATTGAAAATGAATTTGGTTTTTGTAAAAATTGTTGTTGTTCTTGCTGTTGCTGTTGCTATTGCTAGCTTCTTTTTTTGACTACTAATTCGGAATGTTTTGCGTTTTATCTGCATTTGACGCCAAGCTGGAAACCAAAGCAATGTTATCGCTATGTGGGCTGGTTAGCTGTGGGTGCGGCTGCTGGTTCGTTGGAACGCTCCATACACATTTGCATATTTGCAATGGCCTGCAGCGACGACAGGCCATGGGCTTTGTGTGTTATGCTACACCACAGCTGCGTTGTTGTTTACTTAGTGTCGCTGAATCTGGCTAGTCCGGAATGGAATGGGTGAAGGTGAATGAGAGGGTTGACAGGGTGAGTTCTGCACATCACATACACACACTAGCACACACACAGCCAGCCATCAACAATAGCCGCTCAGTGTGCATAAAAATACATATATATGAATTCGACAACGAACGAATTGCCTTTGGTGCAGCCTCTGAAGCCGCCTTCGCCTGCACCTCCGACTCCTGCTCTGGCTGTGCCAGGCTCAGTGTCCGGTCCATGGCTCTGTATTTGATGAACGTACCAGCACAATGCAATTCTGTCTGCAGCTGTATCTATAACAGTGGCTGCAGCTGCAGCTGCATCAATATCTGTATCTGAGTATGCATTTATTTCAAATGGAACAGTTAGCTGGACACGACTGCTGGCTTGAAGCTGGGCCTCAATTTGCCGTCATGCATGCAAATTGCACTAATGAGCGTCGCAAATTTTGCATAGATATATATATATATATATACATGTGTGTGCTCGATTTATTTGTACGAATTGATGGCAACCTTAAATTAAGCAGCTCTCTAAGCTGGTGTCAACACAAAAGAACGAGCCACAAGCTTAGCCCGAAACGATAAAACGTTCTGGCGAGAGCAAAGTTTTCACGCACGGTCACGTCTTTTACGTAACTGTGACAGTTTTTTGCCACTGCTGCAGCTGCTATTGCTACTGCTGGTGCTAATGCAGTTGCATTTTTGCTCATTAAAGTAAATGCAGTTAATTAGAGCACAAAAATCGTTATTTTACCGTTACAAGTCTTC